AGAAAGGTTTGATCTAGGCACATACATATCACCTGCATTTCTGCCTGATAGTATTTGGCATGATGGCTGTCTAGTATTGCCAGAAATGCAACCTCTTATCGTTCCATATAATATTTTGATGGTATGCTATGTAATAATTTTCCTTGAGAGCTTTTAATATCCCATTATTGATAAATTATTATGATGCCTTTAGCTATGGAGGCAAAATAAAAATACGAACTTGATAAAATTTATTGACAAAGAGACTTCTTCATTTGCCTTTACTACATATATTTTTACTGATTTCATGGTTTCATCTAGACTTCTTGACTTAGTTTCCTAAACCTTTTGTATAAGCTGACTTTTTAACCATTTCTTTTCAAGTATCTGCTTATGGAGCAGAATTATATATATAAAAATTCTGGCAACTAATCCTCAATTCATAGACATTTTTAAAAAATGTATCTGGAGGCTTGTGACTGTCAGATCAGGCTGCAGGCAGAAAGCAGGCTGGAAAGATTATTGATTTTTTTTTCTTTAGCTGTTTTGTTTGTTTGTTTTCAAAGTGGTTTCCAAGCACTTGACAATGAAATACATTCAGAGACCAGAAAACTCAAAAGTACAACAAAGCTTTGAAGAACTTTTGTGCTTAGAGAACTGGTCTGTTACAACTGACTAAGAAAACACTTTTTTTTTTTAAGAGAATTGAGCATTTGGTCAGCTATGCTAAAAAAAAAAAAAAGATACACAGAGCAAGTTAATCCAAGAAATAAGTAATAACAAACACAGTCAGAAAGAGACATGCTAGTTATTTTCTGCTTTCCCGTTTAAGAGATTAAGTCTAAAGAGGCCAGTAATATCTTAGCTGCCCTCATTTCTTTGTCACAGAGCCTTTAACCTTCTTTACAGCTGACAAGGGTTTGAGGCAAAGCTGTCCTCACATATTTTCCCATTATTGTCTTGGAGTACTTTTCCCTTTCTGATCTATCTGATCATTACAGATAGATACAGTGAGTAGATGCACTGACTGCATCAAAATGTCTTTAAAAGTCATTTAAAAGTCCGTGATGACTGTTGACCTCTTCTAAATATTGGCCACCAACTGCTGGCTTCAGTGGTTAAGAATCTGAATCTAACTGTTCTTCTGCTACCTTGTCTGTGTAAAAAGAAATTCAGAATTTCTTTTTTCTGACAACAGGCGCAAGGGTAGCGTGACATGAAGCCCTGGGCAGAAGTCAGGGCATTCCCATGTGCTGTACCTTCCAACACTTATTATGAAATCCTGCTTGTAGGAGCTGCTCTTAAAGAAGGGCAGTTTACACTGAAGCCTGTCATTCGTGCCTGCTGTTGTTACGGCATGAATTTGCATGTGAGTACTTTCTGTATGCACCCACAATTTTTTTAGCATGGATTTTTGGGAGGCTCTTTCCATATTTTAAAATTTCAAAAGTGAAAGACCTTTTCAGGCAAAGACTTTAAGGTGAATTTGCTGTGCAAACGCACTCACACTCAGTCAGGAGGTTTGCAGCCTTTTGAGGATGAGATTGGAGTCTGAAGTATTAAATAAACAGCTACGTGGCAGCTTTGTGCAGTATCTGAGGCTGGATCACACACTGATATTGAGTCAACAAGGTCTGAATGTAGGAAAAAGCAAATATGTCATGGGCTGTGTAAACACATAGGTTTGCCTTAGGAAAGTTCCTTCATTGTTCTTGATAATGCTCAGGCCTCAGGGCAGAGATGTTTCAAAACTATGTATACAGCAGCTTTGGTTCACTGAGAAATGTTTATTCCAGGAATGATCAGAAATCTAAAAACTGAGACTGGGAAATGGTGAAAAAAATTGGAGCTTTTAAGGGAGGCGCTATTGGAGATCTGATATCAGTCATCTTCTATGTAAGAGGTTGCTGCAAGGCAGAGGATAAACTGTTCTTTGTCTGCTGGAGATAGGACAAAGTAATGTGCTTAAAATGGACCAGGAGATAGTTGTGGAGCACATTTGGAACACTGATGATAATGCCAGTGAAGTGACATGAATATACTGCCCAAGGAAATGAGATTGTAATGGGATGTGCTATTTTTTTTAAGATGGACAACTGTTAAAAGTGGTTTAATTCCAGTAGCTTTTTCTAGTGGAGACAATGGACTTAACACCCTTCATTCTGTTTTTAAAAACAGAGACCTGCAATGTAAAGACAATTATACTTAGTAACATCTGGTCTGGTTGCACTCCAGGCAACCATGGTCAAGGTTTTACCTTCTTGTGACAATGTTGAGCTCTCTTGTACTAAATAAATATCCATGCTTCTAAGAGTACCTCTGTCTGGAGAATAATATGCTTTTCATATCTTTCAGGGTAAGGAAAAACATCCATGCCTTGTTTGAGTTAGTCTTGAACTGATGGAGGGCAGCTTTCATCCAAAGAAAGTAAACTTCCTATTTTTAAAGTACTTGAGTTATTTTGTAACTTTTTAATTAAAACAAGGCTATAAATGGGAATCTTTTCTCCTGACTAATGGCATTTAATTATGTGACATGTGCCTTCTAATTGCCAACTTTTCAGCAAGTTATAAAATGTGAATAAGAAAATAAGAGCTAGGGAGTTTATTTTTGTTATGAAAGATCATGGTTTACAAAACTCTCATCATACCCTGCATGAGACTACATGGGTTCACTTTTGTGCCTGACTCTGAAACTGAAATTAAAACTGTTAATTTCTCCTAGCGGTTTGAGTTAGGAGAACTTGGTATGACTCAGATTTCTTGTAATGCACTGCTATGATGTTACTCTTAAAACTTCTGCAGTAGGAGGATAACTCAGTGAGCTACGTGTTGAAAGAGGTGCAAAAAACCAGGTTTTCCTAAAATACACACATACACATACCTAATTGCTGAATCTACCTCATAAACCTGGCATGACTGAACAGGTTTTGCATGTATCTACACAGGTTATGTGTTTAGAGACTTGGGATTAACATGAAAAGTTTGAGATTTAATTAACATCACAGCTCAGTTCTCTCTTCTTCAAATGGAATCAGTGCCTTTTAATCTCTCCTTGACTTTGCCAGCTGATAGAGGACTGTCAATTGATTGTGCTCTAGAGCTTGAAATTCTGGGTTTGGACTTTTCTGCAAACTGGAAATAACCTTTGAAGAAGTCCTCAGAAAAAGATAAAATTTACATATACTTCATAGACTGAAATAGAAATCAGTCATTTTATTCATGTAACTTCCAGGCCTGTCTGAGTGATATTCACTCTTTTTACAAAGTTGGAGGTTTGTGAGCAATGTTTAAACCTGGAGAGAACATTCTGTATTTTCATGAGTAACTTAGAGAAATACGAGTACTCTGAGATACACCAGAATGCAGAGGGAGAATTTGGCACAGAGATAAATATATTTTCTGTGCTGGTTGGTTCTTGATTCATCTTTTCCTGGATTTGTCAACCTCTGCACAGCAGATCTGCACAGCTTTTAACAAGCTGCACAGCATGGATATTACAAATTTGGAATATATGAAAATATATACTCTGTGGTGGCAGTATATCTTAAATTAGTATTTGTTTTGTGAGGTTTTCAAATTATTTGAGAACATACTGAAATTAAAATAATTACTAAGCTTTATGGGTGCCCCTCCATATGTAACAGTGGTCTTGACCATAGCATTTCTCTAGTCTCTTGTGCTGCCTAGACCTTTCCCTCAACCTGGTTATTGCAGACCAAGAGAAATGGCCTCTTGTGAGCAGCTCTGGATTATTTGGCATAGTGCTGCTGTGTTTCTCCTCACACAGAGCATTTCACACATTTCCAACTGTCCCCTAAGGGAAGATTCCTTAAAAAAAACCCCAAACAAATGAAAAACCAAGTTCATAAAAATACAGGGGATGAGGGAGCACAGACCTGGTGGTGCAGGGAACTTCAGTGTAAAGGGGTTTCTTTTAAAATTACAGAGACTTTTACACAAAGTTTGTTATTCTAATGATGTTTACCTGGCTTTGGAAGATATTTCTGAGTCAAGGTCAGGAGCCTTCCAAAATAGGATCCTGGACAAAATGGGAACAAAGCTGCTCTGTAGGCCAGGTAGGCTTGGTCATATTCTAACATGAAAATCACCCAGCTCCTGCTGTTTGTTGCTGAGAAGACCTCTGGCTACATGGTCTCTGGAAGGGTGCTTATGCCTTCACAGACTTCAGGTAGCAGGGAAACCATGCACCAGGTATTGACTGAGCTTTTAGATAGGTTTTCCTGCCGTTTTTCCCTTTTGAGAACAAAATCTGACAGTGGATGATATGTGATTAAACTGAGTTTACCGGGGTCCTGCTGAACAGCTGACCTTCTCTTTTTAAAACAAGAAGCTTGTTAAATCTTCTATGAACACACTAAACATAATATTCCAGATAAGTTTTTATGCTAAGGCCAGTAGTTACAGCAAGAATTATTTTTTGATAAAGAAATGGCTCACTTTTTTTTCTCCATTATTTTTTCTCCAGGGGTTATTAGTTAACACTGGATTGAACAAGTGATCTTGGGTGATCAGATATGGTTCTGCAATATCTTGGGTATCCCATAGCTTTGAATCACAGCTTTTTGAAAATTGAGCAGAGGAAAGAAGAAAACAGATGGTGTGTTTGATCTTAATTAGAGGACATTCCCATTCACAGTATACAATATCTTTGTAGATCTGGCATTTCATCTAAGATGAAGAGCCTTATGCTAGGAGAATACTCTGCCATGTCTGTTCTGTCCTAATATTAGATAGTCCTGAAGAGTACCTATGACCTGCAGAGTTTTATATGTCTATGATTCTTGAGGAAATGTCTTATAGAAAATGCATGAATCAGGGAGTTGTTGTAACAGAGAAGAGGTTTGTTTGCCAGATGAAGGAAAAGGAGTTGCTATGTCTGGGAGCATTACTGAAGAAGAAAAGTATATGGAACAAAAAGTGGTATTTGTGGCATACCAGGTCCAGAATTTAAAACTTTGGTCTTTTTTTTTTTTCATTTATTTCTGTATTTAATTTTAGAACTGACCAGCTTGTTGGAAGATGACGTTTACTCCTGCTTAAAGCTGCTATTCTTAAAACAAACAGTAGAAGAATGTGGAAGAACTCAAGCCTCCGCTGCCTTTTAGCACTAGCTATTTTATTTTTAAGAAGCATAGTGTATGGCCAAGAGATAGGTAAGTTTATTGCAATGTAATTCACTAACTCCTTTTTCTCTGTAGCTTCTGTACCTTGTAATTGCATTGCTTTCCTACTATATGTATGTTCAAAACCTGTCACCTCTGTGGCCCCACACCATCCCAGGATGGAGGCAGTGCCAGGCCTGGTCTCTGCTTTCCACCAGCACCCAGCAGCATCTTGGAAACCAGTGCAAAACTGGGTATTAAATTCTCCATAGTAACCACTGATAGTCTGCGTGTGCATTGGTGTAAATGTCTGCATTGAAACCTTTTTGCAGTATATATTGGCTCTCTTCAGCCATTTCACACATTATCATTAACTGTCCTTCTGTCATTAATTGTCCTCCATGTATGACATGGAGGAGAGCAAAAAACTCATTATGTTAAAATCAAAGCTTGTGGTTTTGCCATTGGCCCAAAGCCTGCTTATTAGACTAGGCAAGGAACGAGTATTGTGGAAAGAGGCAGCTGCCTCTGTTATACACATGAGTTTAAATCCAGATCTCGGGTACCTCTACAAGTCTGTGAGTCTGTCTGTGGCTGTCTAATCAGGCACACAAATCATTCAGTTTTAAAATACTGGCCAGACATGCATGCAATAAAAATTTAAAGAGAATGGCTACAGATGTGAAAAATAGCAGTTGTTTTACAGTTGCTCATTTTTGACCTGCAGTTTTTTACTGTATTTTTTTATGTTGTTTCAGACTCTCCAGGGGACCCCCAGAATTTGAAATGTGTAACGCACAACTTACATAAAATGCTCTGTACTTGGGATGTCTCTTATAGAGGAAGACATGGACAAACTGACTTTTGCTACACTACCAAGTAAGTCCCTCCACATACCTGGTTAAAAAATACCAAATTGTGATGAAGGTACAGTTTTTCCTCAGTCACTGCCCATGGAAATTGTGATGCTGTTGTTTCCCAGCATCTCCCCACCAGTTTTCCTTGGGTGGTGCTTCCCCTAGGCCCTGTTAACTCAGTCAATGGCAGGGTTTCTGGCAAAACTGTTCCATGCTAATAATTTGCCTGCCAAAATCTGCTTGCTGTTTTCAAAGGACTGGAAGATGCTCTTATTTACTCAGACTTCTCTGTGTGTCTGCCTATCCCTTGCTCAGAGTTTTCCTGAGAGATATCTTCAAAACAGGTTCAGTCCACAAGGAAATGAGAGTTGGAAGCAGTGAATTCTGATGTTGTGGGCCAAAGCAGTAGAATATATGACACAAGTGTTGAGATTCACGTGGATTTTGTGTGGAAAAACATGAACGATCTCTCAGCGACTGTCTTAGAACCTTTATAAATTTTAAGCTGTATTAGAGGAAACATAAAAATTATTTCACAATTGAAACAGCTTTTCTGAAGTGAATGCAAGTTGAGAATTTTGAGAAAAGTTAAAAAAAACTTAAATCTTCTGTATGTTTTTTCACTAATGAGAACTACATGTTCAATTCCCCATGCTGTGGATCTGCCAAATACTTATCATGTGCTAGGGATGAGTTCAAATCCATTCTGCATCTTGATCCTGCCCCCAATCCAGATATTTGTACTGTCTTTTTGTTTTCCTGCAAATTCTGCAGGCAGCCCAGACTTTTCCTTGGGGTCCCAGGGCTTGGCTGCACTTAGTCCACCTACATGCTTGATTTTCTGTGTCTCATTATTCCTGCTGCATTGCCAGCTATCATTCCTATTTAAAAAACACCATATATATGACTCTGTGGCCAGAGTTCAGAAGTGCAGAGTTCATGAGGTACTGCCCTCTGAACAGGAACAGTCATGTAGCCGCTGCTGTTTCTCCTTAGCAAAGCAGAGCAGGCTGGGGTCTCTGAAGCAGAAAGTCTGAGATGAGCTTACAGACATCCCTGAGGGAAAGAGGTTTTGTTTTTCAGTTGCCCAAACATCCTCTAATAATATCTCAGCACTGAAGAGGAACAGCCTTTCTGAGCACTCAAGTCTCAGCTGGCCTTTGCTAGCCCAGAATCTTGTGTGAATCTTAAGAGTTCAACCCAAGCTCTTGACTCCAGCTGATGGGAGCTCCAGGGTCCTGTTCCAGTTCATAAGTGAGTAACAGTCCCTCAGCAGGAAGTCTGGCATTGTTCTCTCTGCTTTCCTTCCTGCCGTCATTCCCCCAAGAGGAAGGTCTGGATTTTTCCAAACTTTCTGCCTTTCTAGTTGCATATCAGTGATAATGAGCAAAAGGACTTGACCCATCCATTATTGTTTCCTGTATATATCTACATCTTCAAGATAAAAGCCAGATCACATTGTGCTGAGCACTGCACAAACATTAAGCACGGGCTACATTTTCACCTGGGATCTTAGGAATCCTCTGCCATGCTCTCTGCTCTTTCCCTGTGAACTGAGCAGCAGAAGGGAGCTAAAAGATCTGTTCTAAGATGTGGACGTGGGGGGTAATCCTTCTCTTTCAATCCATGTGAGGGCACATGGGTTGTGAAGAAATGGAGGGAGAGTGAGTCAGGAAACACAAAGGGAGGGGACGATGCTATTACTTTTGGTTTGGGTTTTTTTGTTTTTCTTATTTCGAAATATTGATTCGTGGTGACTAGGTTTCAGAAACATGTATTTTGTTGGCCTCAAGTGTAATTAGATGTTAAGAAAATTTTTTCACAAAAAGGTTGCAAAGCATTGGAACAGAGTGCCCAAGGAGTTGGTGGAGTTGGCATTCCTGCAAGTGTTAAAAAGCATGTGGATATGGTACTTAAAAACATGGTTGAATGGTGAACATGGTGCTTGTGCTAGGTTAACAGTTGCATTTGATGACCTTAAAGGTTTTTTGCAACCTTAGCAATTCTATGATTCTATGATTTTGGTTAAAAAGCAAGGTCTTCACTTTGAAATGTTCTCTTAACAGCTAGTTGGTTGCATTATGCAGCCACTGCACAACCTACCACTATGATAAAAGTGACTTGAAAGATGAGGGAATGCCATTAATCTGATACTAACCAAAGCCAAGCAAGTCCTTCACAAACTCAATATGGAGTTTTCTGTTTATTACAGAGAATTTGTATTTTATTAGTGTGCAAGACTAGGACTTAACTTGCCTTAGTTTTCTATCAGCTGAAATAACTGCTTAATCCTGTTTGTCCTTTTAGTGACCTTACCCCTCAAGTCTGTTTTAAAACTAAGGAGAGAAGAGTTGAGATTCCAATCCCAGAGAGCTCCATCACAGTGACAATCAAAAGCTCTGGAACTGCTTTTGCTACCAGAGAATTTGTAATTCACCAGAAAGACATCTGTAAGTATCAGGTCATATGTGTGTACCTGAGGCCTTTATACTATGTTTAACAACTTTCTTAGATTCTTGCAGGTTTCTTTGGCAGCGTTCCTGTATGTAAAATGTTGATATACTGACTCTATGAAAAGCTTCCATATATTTTTATAGATTGTGTTCTCTAAACCTTCAAGAGAAAGAATACTCCTCTTACCCATAGTTCATAGCATAAAAAAAAATCAAGGGCAGAATGTGACAGGAAAACAAAATACAAGAATGTTGCATCCCTCACTCTTTTCCCTTTTTAGTCCTAGTTATAAATTAAGAATCATTTGTAAACAAATTCCTAAACTACCTACATAAGTAAATGAGACTTTTTCCTGCTTCCTTCCAGGCAAAAAAGGAAGTTGTAAACAGAAGATGGCAGTGATGCAATCTGCCATGCTTGGTCTAGTTTTTACCTTTGGTTTGCCTGCTTACTCCTTCAGTGTAGTCAAATTCTGATGTCAGTAACACTTCTTATCCATGGTTCTGTTTTCAGTCAAGAGCAGCTCAAGAACTTATACAAAATGCAATTCAAAAATATTTGGTCAACATGATAAGTCTCTCAGTTCATCACAGGTTATCGTGGGCAGTGTATTGATTGTGCTGACCACTTTGCAGGCTCTCAGATCGTTGGTCAGGACTGAAGCTGGATGTATCACATATATTTTTAAAATGTTTTAGCTTGCACTACGCCAAATAAACTGCTATAACCCTTGTATTACCAAGGTTCTTCCCTGTTTCTCAACCTCTTGCTTCACCACAACGCATTTTTAAAAGAGATGCTTCTGTTCATTCTCCCTGTCCTGTCCCCGTCAGGATCTCATGCCCTTAATGCTTCTTGTAGCTTAAAATCACTTTCCCTGTGATCTTCAGAACCTCATGTGAGCTTCTTCTATCCTGTGCTTCTGGTCTCCTTCCTTGTCACTCTCACTTTTTGTTGCAAGTCCCCACTTCCCTACTCGTCTGCAAAACATACATCTTCTTTTGAGGATTTTTTTCCCACCATTCTCCCTAGAAGTGTTCTCATGCACACTTCAAACACTGCCACCATATTTCCTTTATCACTATGGTATTGAAGGAAAGTTGGGAAAGATGGGATGTCATCCCTACTATGCATTGCAAAGAGTCATATTCACAATCAGTTACTTGCCCATCTACATGCTGAGGTATTAAAAGAAAATGCTACCTGATGATTCATCAGCACCTATGCTTTCCTGAGAACTCTCATGCTCAAGTAGCCACAGAGCCTTGTTCTAATTACAGAGGTTGAGTTACATGTTTGGAAGGCTACTAGCCAGTTCAGAGCACAGGGATGTGGCTGTTAAACACCTGTAGGGCTGGTGCTGCTGACTAACAACCTGAAAATGACTTTTTCTTCTCCCCTGCCTCTTTTTCAAGCCTTTGTTCCTGTCACTCCACACATTCTTAGTTTAATGCCTGACTTTCCAACTTCCACATTGAATCTGAAGTGGAGTGATAATGGATCGGTCTTCCCATATGGACTGGATGCCCTTTGGCAGATTCAGATACTCCGAAAAGAAGCTATGGAAGTAGTCACACAAGTAAGTCCCTTTCTTCTTTTATGAAAAATATATGTACAGTTTTTGCCTTTTGTAATGTTCTGAGATGTCACTTGAACAAAACTGGGAATGATGAAGATAGTAGAGCTTTGCAGGACCTGAGTGTAATTATGCTTCTGACAGGTAACTTCTCGTTAAATTTCACAGTTATGGGAACACTGGCTACTGTACTGTGGGTACTTAATCACAGCAAAATTTTTTTTTCTGGTACAGAGACTTTGGAATTAGAACTTACTTATGAATTAGGCAGATACTTTACACCATTGTCTCTGTATCTCCAGCAGTGTCTCCAGTCTTGGTCATCTCTGAATGCTCAGCTTGCTGTTTTCTTTTTTTGTAACCAGAGTTCTTCCAGGCCAGTTTGTAGCTCTGTGCTATAAATTTTAATAGTGGACAAAAGATGAAATGTGCAGCCTGGGACTAATATTGGAAGAGTTTTGTTTTGGAGAAGTTGAAACATTTAGCTGCCTATGAGATTCCCGGGTGCAGTATACCTCTTTAAATGCTTGGGAATCCTCTTGCTCTCCCTCAAATGTCTGCCCTCTGGTATTTCTGGCTGACAGTCTACCTAGCTGTTAGGCCACTAAGACTTTTGTCCAGGTAAAGTCATAAAAGTTAGCTAGAACACTCCAATAATCAAGGAAGATTTTATGATTTGCTTCACCTAATTTGCCATTCTGTTGACACTTGGGAGATTATATGTCATTATTAACAGGTGTTCATAAGCTCTGTCTCAGTTGATTTCTTGGTGCAAAACCTTTGCAGGTTACTTACTACTCAAAACTGACTCATGAAGATGCCATTCTTTCTTGGAGCTGGACATCAGATATGCCTTTGGAGTGCACATCACACTATGTGAAGATTCGCTGTTACATTAATGCAACACAGTTTGTTGGCCCCAAGGATTGGAGTGCCTGGAGCCCAGCAAAAGTGATCCCTGGTATGTTTGTTCCCTTGCAACCACATGGGCTTTTATTTCTTTATAAGAATTAAACCAAGGTCAGAGGAAGAGCATTAGGTGGTTAGCATTAGGAAGAGCATGGGCTGCTGCCTTTGAGACTGTTATGATTAGGGAAATAATGTAATCGCTAGTTAATGAAACCTAGCAAATATTTATTTGTATGCATTGGAGTGCTCCTCAGTCACATTTTAGCTGATCATCACTGTGTTTATAGCAAATTGTTCATGTGAGGTTTCTTGTTTGTTTTCTTCCTTCTCTGCTAGGAAAAGATACCGAGCCTGGTGGAAGTGGAGTGTTTCCTCTGGACCGTGTGGTGGCAGTAGGTTCAGATTTGGTGTTTTGTTGTGTCCATGAAGAAGATGAGCACATAAAAAATATGACTTATGGATCAAAATCCTATACAATGACACAACTGAGCCGTCGAAGCCATGCCATCAGAGTGCTAAATGCCAGTGTTTCAAATGCCAGCGGAACAAATGTAGTGTGCAGACTCAAACATGGGTTGGAAGGAAGTGTCGTGTTTGTAGGATGTATGTATCATGATTACTAACCTCAGGAAAATCAAAATCATTTTGAGACTCTTAAGGTTCTGCTAGGAAAAAAAATACTATTGTGGGTTTTTTCCCTCCTGGGGAAAAAAGTGTTGAAGTTTGGTTTTGAAGTTGAAGTGGGGATTGTACTTGTTAGATTTCACTGCGGCAAGGCTAGCTCATGGGGGAGACACCAAGTCTGAAAGGATGAGAAGGTACCCATGTAAGCCCTCTTTAGAACCTGCCCCAGTGCTTCTCCCATTGTTCTAAGGTACTTTTTCATGATCTGGAATGCCAAGTATTTTATTGCCATATGAATATTCAACCCCTGTCTCTACCAGTATCTATCAATTTAGGTTTACATCTGTTCTAGTATAGTCCATGACTAGGTAAGAGTGAGAGCAAGAACTGTAAGTGCTAACATTCATTTACCAATCAGTCAAGTGAAGACAACAGTTAAACTTGCAGCAACAACAGATGCTCATCCAGGGCAGAAGCTCCTTGGGAGCTAATTACAGCAAAGGAAACTAAGCAGTAATTCTTGAGCATTTTCCTAAACCATCCTTTTAGTGTTTTCTTTAAAGATACTGACTCACTCTGTATCTTCTCTGTGTAGCCATGCAAGGCTCAGACATATGTTCAGAAACAGATACCTATTAAAACAAATGACTTAACATAACTCATTCTTCTTCCCCATAATTGGTCACTTTAAAGCTTTTTATGTTTTTTCCTCACAAGGAATTTGAGAGTTGTCATCTTCCAATAGCTGCTCATTAGAATCCCATTCCCTATTACAAATGCCTGTCTTTGAGCTTAAGGTCCTTGGTGTTGAGGAAAAGGACAGGAGAAACTGGAATAATTTTGAAAATGTGTTCCAATCTCCAGCCTGTGCATCCTGTCATTGACTTGATCTGTTAAGGGTTCACTAGGAAATGTAAAACATAATTCAGCCTTTTATTACTTCTCAGTGATATACCATTTTTACGTTGTTTGTGAGAATTTGCTTTTGTGGGAAAATCTTGCATGTAAATAGATGAAGCATGAAAGCTGTGACAATCCCATAGGATTTTACTTCAGTTTTTTTTTTTAACAGATGGGATGCCAAGTCTGTTTCTTATCAGTGTTTCTTTTTGTAGTACCTGCTTAGTGGGGAGAGGTCTTGTTCTGGTCCTCTTGCTGATGAGGGGAAGAAAAGGTGAAGGAAGTAAATATGCATACACAACACTTTGGTTAAGCCTAGGTCTAGCAAAACAGGTGTTCTTTTCTGGCTCACTGCTCGTAATCTGAGCTAAGTCTGCCGCTGTTGTTAATTAACACTGTGTGTTAACTCCCCTTCTCTAGGGCAGAGAGAAGGGGATATATCTCTATGTGGATATTGTTGCTCTACCTTTGGCATATGCTTTTCCAGTTTCATATACCTCAAGTGTACAAGACCTGAAATAAGTGCTCTGCCTAGTCTCATGTTTGCATGGTCTGCTGGGAGCACTGCCCATCTTTTCCAGCAAGGCACTCAATGCTGCTCTAGTATGAATGCAAAGAACAAGACTTAAAAGGAAAAGATGGACACTTCCAAAGCCATGGTGAAGAGGATGAGCCATTCAGGGCTTGCTTTAATTTTCAAATTCAGTTTGGAATTCATGCTAAAGGGACTATTTTCTTGACACAACTTGTTTGGAGAATTCAAAGCAGTGGTGGGGCTGGCATGTTAGAAAATGTGACGCACAGCCGGCAGCATTCCTGCATTGCTCAGCAGCTGAACTGATGCTCAGAATGTCAGAAAACTCTTGGCAGAGTTTCAGTGAAACACTTCCAGGTCAGAGCCTGGAGCTTGTGAACATGTTTGCATGAGATTTGCCAGATTACCCACCCACTTAGAATTCTAGAGTCAAGTGTTAGTCAGATGGGGCTGATAATTATCCATCTATTTTATTGTAATTTTTTAAAAGCATATTACTTCTGTGGTTGGGGTGTATCTATTGCCATGTACTTTTGAAGCACGCAATCTAGACCCAGCAAAACAAAAGAGCAATGCTTTCAGGAAGCCAGTAACCCAAATGTCACACTAGTATGGCAAAACATCAGCTAACTGTTTGGTTTCCTTTCCTGCTACAGATGCTCCTGATATTCCCCAAAACCTCAGCTGTGAAACACCCAACTTTCTGATAATAAAATGCACCTGGAAACCAGGCAGGCCCAGTGGATTATATGGAGAACGAAGAACAAAGTACAGTTTATTTGAAAGGTAAAATAATCAGCACTACAAGGAGTAAAAGGATACAACTGGAATACCTCCATTGCTGCCTGAGACTTACTGCACCATACCTATATAGAGCCTAAAATACTTTCCAAGAGTTTCAGCAAGCTGTACTTAAACTAGATTTGGAAAACCTTGGTCTAGCTCTGCAAAATTTCAGTGGGAATTAAGGATAACTTTCCCTAAGGTTTATACCATCATGAACCCACAATCAGATAAAGGGCTTACTGTATCAGTCTGCTGCCAACATGTAGTCAAGACCAGTATGAAAATACAGGGAGATAGTAGAAGGCAGTCACTAATTTTAAATTTTTTTATATGAAACCTGGTTCAGATAATTTCAGACATTTACTGAGCTTCTGGTAAGCAGGGTGACAGAAGTTCACTGAGAAATAATTGTAAGACAGGTCGTGAGGCATTTCCCAACTGCCACTAGGGAAAATAGTAACTAGCATCCATCTGTTCTCCTGCCATTAAGAATTAGAGCAAGCAGAGTAAATGTTAAAACATTCAAAAGGACAAATAACACTGGTTTCACCCACAGGAAGCAGTCAACTAGTGTCCTACTACATAGTCTTTAAGGCCAGGCCATGTAAACTCTTAAAAAAGAAGAAATATTGGAATAGCACTTGGAAAGTGCAACCACTTCCTTGGTGGTTGTGATTAGAAGTTAGTGAGGAGTTAACAAAATTCCCATGGTGAGAGGAGGCTCTTGTGTCATTCCAAAAGAGCAGTCAGGGAAAGAAGCCAGGAGAGGCCTGAGTCACACAAAATGATGAGAAATGGAGTCTCATGGTGGCTTAGAAGCACGCTGGAGGCAATGAGGTTTGAGTTACAGTCACAGATGTCATCTAGAGTGCCAGTGCTAAAAAAGCCGCTGGGTAGGGTGCAAAGAGGTGGACAAAACAGGGCAGATATTCACAGGAAAGGAGCCTCACTGACTGCCCATATACATCTTATAAGTAATAATGTTGTCCAGTCTTGTTTTGCTCAGCCCAAATTTGTGAGATTAATATAATGAATTTTGGGATAAATACTCTCATCCTTATTGTCACCCCATGCTGAACCATAGAGCACAGTGTGGAGGGAGCTCAGAGCTCAGCTAGAACACAGTAAAAATGCCTGAAAGAAGAAGTTAGTTAAACTTGTGCTACTGAATGAGAGGCTTACACAGATTGTAATTAAAACAGATATATGTACATACGTACAGATACGCAATTTAGATTTTATCACTAAAGATGCACCACTGTTCTTGTCTGTTAACAGACTGCCTCTCCTGCTTTTTATTAAAAGACAGCTATGACTAGTGGTTGTATTCTAGATAACAAACCTGACTTCATGTTTAACAGGACTTATAGAATGAGAATGTGTATAGCATCTCACTAGTTCACAAAGCAATTAAGAAAATTCTTTAAATGCAAATGTATGCTGATCTGAACAAAGCTACTTTCAATCAGAATCTTAGCTGTGACTTGTAAGGTGGTTTTACAGGACCTACCTGTTTTCCAGGCTTTTGAGAAGTGAGAGAATGGAAATGTTATGCTAGTGGAAGAGGAGAGTTTCACGTGAGAACAGGGCAAGTCATGACTGATGCCACTTTAACCTGCATTGTGGGGTTAGATATGCCTCTGCAATCAAATCATTCTGTAAGCCATGTGAACTGAACCCATCGTTCTGTACCATGTTTTCAGTCTAGACTTGTGATTGTTGCTAGGAATTAACTTACTCAAAAACTAAGGTTTTCCCTCCTCTCTTTACTTTGTAGAACATCTGGTAAAAATGTTTCATGCGAAGTCAATGAAGTGAACAGAGACCATGTTTGTGGCTTTCCAGTACTGCCTGATCAAAAAACCTATGATTTCATATTAGGTGTCTCCAATCCTATCGGGCAAGCACAGTCATCTCTTTTGGTCAATATAACTCAAAGAGGTAAGACTTATGAATTACAAAGGGAAAAATATGTGTCCTACATGCTATTTGTTAGTTTTGGGGTTGAAGAGCTCTGATATGGGATACTTTTCATTATTTTCCTTAATTGTCACTAGATTATTACCATATTCAATAATTTGAACTTGAAAACAACTCAGAGCATGTCATGAGGCAAAGATGAACTGTACAGGGAGATGCCAACAGCAGTGCTGCCGTGTTGGACAGACTGCTGCATGATAAATTCTAATATGTGATCTAATAATTAGACAGCTGCTGTTTATCATGGAATCCCAGAGTGGCTGGGGTTGGAAGGGACCTTAAGAATCATTTAGTTCCAGCACAGCACACACACTCCCCATGCCCCACCTCCTGCCATGGACAGGGATGCTGATAGTGGAACCCTGGAAAAAGTTAAAGATAGAATCTAAAATGTTAGGCTTTGTGCTTTCCCAGATCAACTGCACCTGCATAAGCAGTATGATAAATTATATAATTGTTAGATGTGATGATTGTTTAGTAATTAAATGTAATTATTATATAACCATAAGAAGAATAGTGAGAAACTATGTTGGAAATTCAGAGAGGGGCTAAATTTATGTATACAATAGAACAATATAAGTTTAATAATTAACATGAAAGTTATGTAACGATAGAGTATAAAACATGATCATTTCGGATGTATGGTCAGAGTCAGATTTGGGTTGAATATACCCCGATTCCCGGAGCTCTTAATAAAAAGCACCGCATATAATCGCTCCGTGATTATGTGTTTTTGAATGCTAACAATGCCACTCACTGGATCAGGTTGCTCAGGGCCCTCTCCAGCCTTGCCTTGAGCACTTCCAGGGATGAAGCATCCACAGCTTCTCTGTGCTCATAAACAGCAAGTGGATGTTTTGTTTCACATTCCATTACCCATCAACAATTAAAATTTAGGTGCAAGTTTGCGAACCTGTATGTAAATTATTTCTGTATTTCAGTGTCCAGTAATAGGACATAAAATATTACACAGTTTCACAGCAGCAGGATTTGGAGCACAAAAAAAAAATAACGTGGAAAGAGAGAAGGTAATATCAGGACTATTGTGTTCTATTGGTAAGAGCCATGATCATCTGTCAGGGTTTGGAGAAAGAAGTAACTTCTCTCATTTAGACCTTTAGTTTAAAAAAGGAAAGGAAGATGACCATCTCTGTAGCACTGCCTTCACCACCCTTTTCTCCTCCACAGTCCCAGCTGAGATTTCAGGGATTCCTATTGGTTACAGTATTCTGCTGTTCCCCAAAAAACTGAATTAAATATGAGGATAGTACATTTTTCATTGTCCAGGTCCCAGTTCAACTAGCCTGAGATTAGAATTGTCAGAGTAAATGGACAGAGTTGAAAAAAGCATCATTTTTTTCTGTTAATCATTAACTGGGCTGTTTCACACCCAGGTGGTATGTTGCTGTTTCCTATTTGTTTCTTTTTCTTTCTTTCCTGCACTGTCCAGTTAATTCCCAAAGCACAGGTATTTGGACCAAATCCAACAGTAGATATTTTTACTCTGATAGCTGTGAATGTTAGTGCTGAATATTACTGAAAGATGATATGAAGGGAATTTTGGGGTGAGGTCATTTAGGAATCCTCCTTTTTCCTGGTCTGCAGATTTTAAGTACTAATTTTAAAAGTTCACAGAAGTTGAGCTAAGTTCAGTAAATTTCATCCGTCACCTGTGATCATCTGAAGTAGCTGGTGGTTCACTCTTTTGATAAAATCAGTTATGAGGAAAAATGGTTTTTTGTGTCTCAACTCCTTATCATGTGTGCAGTACACTCAGTCTTAAGTAAATCTGTTTCCATATTTGATAGCTGAGAAGATATCAGGAATGAGAGTACTTGCAGGTGCTTTCCCAGCACCAGTTTTCCCAGTTGCTGATTGAAACACTTATCCTTCTGATTCTCTCTGATTTTCTAAAATAAGATTTTTCTGAACTATAGTAATTGAGTTTTTTTCTTGTAACTGAACGTTTTTCTCTTTATTTTTTAAGTTCATCCGAAAGCTCCAGAAAAGTTAACTATTACTGGGAACAACTCTACAAGCATCCAACTGCGTTGGTTTGTAAATGGCAGCTTTGCTGAGACCAGGCTTCTGTGTCAAATTGAAATTAGCAGTAGTCACTCTGAGAGAAAACTGGTAAGCATTGCCTTGAAAAGATAATTTTTTTGAACAAATGCTAAACTTACTCACTGAACTAATCACATTTCAAATTTATTTCTCACTAAGAGCTTCATTCTGGTAGTCTTATTAAGTCATTAACATAGTAATGAGTAGAAGTCATTCACTAAAGTAAGAAATATTCCTGCTCATCTCTGTTATTGCCTGTTTTGGTTGGTTGGGGCTTTTTTTTTGTTTTGAACACTAGAGAAAAGCCAAATTATGCGCCGTGTTATTTGGTACTTGAAAGGAGTGCATAGTGCTTTAGGTAACAGTCCGTGTGCTTTGTCCTTCCTGGTGCAAGCTGCATTAAAGCACTCTTGTTCCAGGATGCATTGCTGCCCTGCAGACTGACCCACACGGGCTGTTTCAGATCTTGAAGGCTGCAGCTGAATTTCTCCCTTTATTTTTTCCCCTCAGAGAACAGTTCATTTGTTTGCTGCCAGTAGTTGACATGCGTGTGGCCACAATAGGCAGCTGCTGAACCTGCTCATATGTCAGTGATGCAGAGGCAGGACAGGGAAAGATTCTCCCATGGGATGTGTGAGTAGGTAAACCCCAGTTTACCTGGAGTAACTTCTGCAGCATGAAGTTAGTGTGGGGTGACCTGTCTCACTGGGGAAGCCTAATGGGAAGTGCATTTTCAGCTGGCCTGAGATTTACCCCCAGTTTCTTTGTGCGCACTTATCTCTGACCATTTCAAGTAGGCACATAGTGAATTCTCAGGTAGGTCTTGGTGCACAAAGCCTGAATTTTTAATTTGAGCACATTAACCTCAGATGTTTCTTTTTGCAATGCTAGTTTGATTTTTAGCAGTATTCTGTGATCCTCTGCATTTAGTTGCCAGCTGGGCACAGCTGTTGAGCACAGCCTTGAATATTGTAAATCAAGCCACAGAAATGATGCAGCTAAGACTGAAGATAATCATAATGTACATGCTTCCAAAATAAGAGGGTGCATGCGCTCTAAGGCTATTTTTAAAATACTTTCAGAGCACTTAAGTGCAGAAGCCTTAAGCTTTTATATTTTGTCTCTAATAACATGGGTTAAGTAATACCAGAAATTAGGTACTACAAAGGGAGTTCAGATATTTTTGTAATATGCAGCTCAAAATCTGGGGCCTGGACTCATTTGTGAATTCTGCTACTGCATCAATCATCTGGGATAGTGGAAAAGGGTCAGGACTTACACTTCCACAGCAGTTTGATTCCCTTCACCTGTATCAGAGCCCTCACCCACGGATATTTTGTATGCAGCAAACAGCTTGGCAAAAGCCTTTATAGCTTTGTTATATGGTTGCTGGTTGCTTAATAAAAAAACTCCAGGAGTTCCCTGTCACAAAAGTAGCTGTGAAATTGCTGTGGGGTTTTACATGGCATTTTGAGAATGTTTTCAGAAGCATTTCCATCTGCGTGAGAGATTGTTGGCTTTTCTAGTATTTTTCAAGTTGTTATTTGGATTTTCTATTATTTTTCAAGTTGTCATTTGGCTTTAGAAATGCAAAATTAGTTGCATCTTAAAGTCACTTGGAGTCCAGTTTTTGGCAGCTGTGATGTACATGTGTTATAATTAGAATCAGTAAAAAATATTCCTGGGTCTAGGATTTCTTTAACTGTGAAATTGAAATGCTCTCTAGACTCACACTACTTTAAGAATAATACGAGAGACTAGTCCTGTCATAAGAACTGTGAACTGAGATTGCCTGGGTAGGACCTTCTGGGTAATGTCTTCTGAAGGAAAAATGAAGGCAGCAGACTGCATGATGAACATCCTGCTCAAGCAGACTGTCTTTAGTGAACTTCTGTGCATGTCTCACAGGAAAAAGGCCTTTGTTCCCACAGATGTGCATGTGTTCAGTGGGAGTGTGGGTTCTGAACACCAGAATTGTGGCCTGCCCCGTGTGAGCAGTTTTGATGCAAATGGGAGAGAGGGGGACTGAATGGGATAGATGGGTAACAACCACCTGCTGCTGTGTGCAGAGCTCACCCTGTTGAAGAATCGTCCATGTTGCTGCTCCTTTTTGCACCTTACTCTGTTTCAATTACTGTATAGAACTTTATTTTGGTGGATCTCTGAAGTTTTTGTTCAGGGTGACTGCATTTTTTTCCCACTATTTTCTTCATAGAGCTTGACTGCAGCTTTGACACTGTCAGTATTTTTGGGGGACAAAAACCCTCGCTTTTTTAGGCGTTGACTAGCAGTGTAATTTAGGAAAAAAAAAAAAATATTCACGTATCATGTCAATTTCTGTAAATTTTGAACAGCACAATGTCTCCGTGCCTGGGCGGAAATCTTCAACTTACACAGCTCAGCTGAATGCATTGCGCCCTGACACCAAATACCAGCTCCGGGTGCGCTGCTCGGCCGCTGACCACTTCTGGAGGTGGAGTGACTGGAGCAGGGCGGTGGAGCAGACCACATCAGAAGCCCGTAAGTTCCTCTCACTCTTGATGATAAAATGTTGAACTTGGGAAGATACGTATTTTAAAATTGGTCATCTGAAAAAACCTAGCTTTTCAATAGATGGTAAATTGTCTGCTGTGCTACTGGGGAAAAATATTACCACTCTTATTTTTTTATTTAGCTCCTACAAGAGGACCGGATATCTGGAGAGAGAGAAGTCCTTCTGGTGAAAGCGTAATAGTCTTCTGGAAGGTAGATAGTTTTTTGTAAAGTTATATTGCATAATATTTAATGTGTTCTATTTACTTTTATACATTTATAAATATATATAAACGTTTATAAATTAGTAAAGTTTATAGTCAATAAACCAGACTGCTTTTCTTAACTTTTTATAGAACCATCTATTGAGACAAATATTTTTCCCCAAATAAGAATGTTATTAAAGTTTTATAATTAAAATATTGCTTTGAGAAGCATTTCACATGAAGAATTAAATGTTTAATGTGTCTGAGTTGAAAATTAAAAACTTAATAATTTACATGTTAATTCTCAAATTACTCTGAGTTACTTTTTTTCCTTATAATCTTACACAGTCATCAGACTAGATCAGGAACAGTAAATTTATATTATCCTATGTCATCTTCTGTATATTGCATTTTGGTTTTAACACACTCTTTGTCTGTTCATAGCCCTTATCCCTTTCTGAAACCAATGGAAAAATAGTGTCTCATGAAGTGTCCTGCCACCTGCTAGAGAGACTACTGGAGCGTAAAGTAGTCTCTGAACCCTCAAACAGTACTGAGATAAAACTTGGAAAAAGTGACTGTGTAATTAGCGTTGTAGCCAGAAACCATGCAGGCTCATCTCCCCCTTCAAGGATAACAAGTGTGGAACTTCCAAGTGGTGAGTGCTCCCAGCTGAGAATTAAACACCTTCAAAGCTTGGGGAGTATCTAGGAGAGTTTGTTTATTGAAAAATAATGCTTTGTTTGTTTGCATTTATTTCCCCACACAAATCTGCTGGGTGGGGGGACAAATGCTTTGCTTTTGGAGTACTGTCTCACCAATTAATTGTGCTTGTTACATAAAATAAAGGTGATAATGTGCAGTCTTTACAGCTAATTGCGTTTTTCAAAAGCATTGGTGTGGATCCCTGATATTTAGGGAGCTCAGTGTATTCCTGTGTGATTCTCATTGAGACACTGAGAAGTGTTACATGCTAAAGAGATTCAGAAGTTTTGGAGGTGTTGTGTGGCTTTTTAAGGCGGGAATTGTCAGTTCAATGCCTGAGAGCTCTGTAGGAGAATATTAATTGGGCTGGTTGGTAAAGTGTTGGCATCCTTGTGCTAGGAAAGCCAGTATTTGAAAAGGAGGTAGGGCTTTAGCTTCCCAATTAAAACACTGCTGCTCTTGCTGAGGGCTTTGTAAACAGAAATAGCTGAGCCTGATAATGGTTTTCTGCTCTTAACACTGAGCTTGCAGAGTAGATAATATTGCAAAGCAGGTATTGTGAGTCCACGCTTCTCTGCACACCAAACCTTTAGCTCCATATCTGGCTGATGCTCTGCAGGGAGAGCAGATTCACACTGCAAGGCCTGTCTGCACTTGTTTGCCAGGAGCATTCATGGGTCTGCTTCTCCGTGCCCACAGGTGTCACAGTTGGTTCTCTGGCAACTCAGGTTCTGGTAAAACTTGGCCATCTCCCACGGGAAGAAATGTGTTCTGGTTGAGATTCACAGTGAGATACAAAACAAGTTTGTTTCTGTGTAAAGCATAGCCATGTGAAATACAATGTTTCTTGTGCTCCTCCAAAACAAAGAATCACAGAATAGGTCAGGTTGGAAGGGCCCACAGTCCAACCTCCTCACCCAAAGCAGAGCCATCGCAGAGCACAGGGCACAGGATTGTGTCCAGATGGTGCTTGGATATATCCAATAAGGAAGACTCCACAATGTCTCTGGGCAATCTGTTCCAGTGCCTGGTCACTGCACAGGAAAGTTCTTCCTCATGTTCTTTATCCTGTGCATCAGTTTCTGTCCTATTGCTTATTGCACTACCAATCAGAGCCTGGTCCCTCCTCTGTCCCCTCCCTGCATGCTTTGACAGACACTGATGAGGTCCCCTCCCGGCTCTTGTTGAGGCTGACCAGGCCCAGCTCCCTCAGCCTGCCCTGGTAAGAGAGATGCTCCACTCCCTTAAGCATCTTTGTTGCCCTCCACTGGACCCATGCCAGGAATTCCTTGTCTCTGTTGTCCTGAGGAGCCCAGAACTGAGCACAGCACTGATGCTTAGTCTATGGGCAGCTATTCTTAGTCTGCCCATTGGAAGGAAAAGTAACTATATGGGACAGTTGATTTGAAATGCTTTTATAGCTCTCCTTCAGCAGAGAAAGAGTCAGGATCTGGAAGTCAAAGAGGTCTATAATAGGTTTGTGGTGTGGGAGAGCTGATGGCAGCTAGAGCTTTGCATTCATTTATAGCTTTCTCTTAGATGTCTGAGGCTCCCTTTGGTGTTACCCAACTTGTACTCATTAAAGATTTGCTCCCGAGTTGGTATAGGAATTGAGTCACTGACTGGAGCCATACAAGATGACTCATTCAAAGAACTGGATGACATTTTTGCCCAGACATCTTTTCTGGCTGCTTCCTGTGTGCAGTCTGTAAGTGCTTTTAATGTCAATAAGAGAGCAGAGGGTCTGAAGCTGGAGTTTATGAAAACTGAAAACACAAACAAAGGATACACTGCCATAATTAATTTGTCATTGTCTTTGAACAGTGCTCTGTAGAGAGTTGAGGCTGATCCAGGCTCCCCTAACACAGTAGTGTTCTAGTGCTAGTAGTTATTTGTTCTTCTAGTCTAGGTTGCAGCTGTAAATACACCGAAATGAGCAGTACTGCCCATGGTGAATTTCTAGTCATCTAGCTCAGAAAATAAGGTGGAGTGTGGTGTATTTAAATGGTTTTTAGACAGCATGTGATTACTGCCAGTAAAAAACTCTTTTCTGTAAATAGAAAAATTGAAGTCTGCTAATTAGAAATATGATCTTTTCCAGCATTACAGAAATATAGTTTCACTGGATGCATAGTAGTTTTTCTGGGGAAAGTATCAAGGCCCTTGTGGCGTTGATTTGCTTTTATTATTCATGTGTCTTTTTCTTGCCATGAGCAAGCTACAAAACAATTATACACTTAACTGCGTGCTAAGATTATTTAGAAATAGACAGTCCTTTGACATTTGCAGCACATCTGTGAGAGTAAAGTTTTCATAGCACTGATTCTTGAAAACTGTCCTTGCCCTTCAGCCTTCCCTAGTTTATGGCTTTAATAAAATGAAATAATAGACTCAATGGGGAGCATAAATGAGAACACTGAAAAAGGAAAACTGAAACCCTGAGATTGTTTTTGCAGATCTGTCATGGGGCCACCCCTTTTGTGATGGCCTTTGGAAACCATCCCTCAGCTCTGCGGGGTCCCATGTGATGGACAGCCATGGAAGGCAGCTGCAGGAATCAGAAGCTGTTCCCAGATCTGATCACTTCACAAGGGCAGCTAGATCTTTGATAATCAGAAACAAGAAAAACAGACTATAGGCAAAGCTTTTTTTTTCCTTTCTTGTATAATTTACCCTTGGTAGACTGAAGCCTCCACAAAGTTCACCAGGGACATGATTATTGCTGTTGATTCTTCATGAAAAATGGTTGTCTGTGGTTGGGCGGGTGACAGCAAGACACTTTGAAAGAAACACAAAGCAAACCATTTGATGAAATGACAGCAGGAATTTATAGCTGGAGGCTCCTGCCAGATTGGTGTCAATTCATATTTGAACCTGACATCTGCTGTAAATCCTTACCTTGAAAAAGTGCTTTTTAAGCCAGTCCTGAGCTGCCGCATTTCTCTTCATTGCACTTAAGGCTGGCTGAGGGATTTGCTGGAGGCTATGTCTGATTGTGAGCACTCCAGAAAGCTCAGCTGAATGTACTGCTTCAAATTCTGAGTTCACTCATGCCTCTCGTTCCTAGAAATGACTGCCCCTAGAAATGACTGCCGTTTATAAAGCCATTGTGCTGTGGCTGGAAGGCTTTCTTTCATCTTGGGCTTTAGATAAGTGTCTGCTCTTTGATGGATTTTTGTGTCATCTTTGTTGCAGATAATGTCACAACAGATCAGGCCGTGGCAATGGGCAATGGAATTAATATTTCTTGGGATTCTTACCCCAACATGACGTGTGGCTACATAGTAAAATGGTGTCATTCATCTGGGTCTGAACCCTGTAGTGTGGACTGGCAGAAGTTTCCATCAAATACAACAAATGCAGTGATAAAATCTGGTAAGTCAGAATACTTTCTTGTGCGTCTTTCTGGTTGAGACCCTGAGCAGCAAGTGGAATGAGAGCAGCATGAAGCTATAGGTTGCAGATTGTTCAATTCCTGTGTACTTCTGTAAATAAATGGATTTCTTCTTGGTACTGTGTTTATTTTAATTTCTTACACAGTCTTGCCAAATCCAAATATCAGTCTTGATTTAATTTTTATCGTCCCGTGTTTATTAACTGTTTTGAAATTACCTCTTCTAGCTGTACGCCAAAATTTCCTAACTCAGCCTAATGCATAATGGTTAATCTAGGGTTGGGGGTTTTATTTGGATTCCAAGCATAAACAGTGCTGCTCAGGATGGGAGAAGACTAATCCGTTGTTTTTACATGAGGCAAATTTTTTTAAGTGTGACCTCCATGTGTTGGCTTGCTGTCAACTATTGAAATTTCCTGGAACAGGGCACATTCCAGGTCTCTAGATGCTGGTGGGCAGATCAGGGAAATGAAATTCAGCTGTGGTGGGACTAGTAGCAGCAGAAGAGGAAAGAGAGAACCCATTAAAGATGTGGGGGTTTTTTCTCTGCTTTCTGTAAGGGTATATATTTGCCTTTTAGAAGCATTTAGTATTAAAGTCTCCATTCAAGGAAACAACTTGGAGCTGTGTACATAGGAAAGTTGAGGGGGATTGAGACCTGAAAGAATGGGGGCAATATGTTTTTCTGTCTGTAATTACAACACTGTGTCCATGCTGTTTCTGTTTGTGCTAGCTAGAGATTTCTTTTTTTTAAGCAGACAATACAGTGTCTGTGATGCACTGCTTTACTCCTGAGCTCTTCACTGGGATGCTTCTTGCAGCATGTGACTCTTTTATGAGTTATCCAGCTGCTAGGGCTGGGCTTAAGCTGGCAAATCCACCTCTGCTCTTAGTCCTGCTAGGGGAATCCCTCAGGCTGGACCTGAACTCTTGCAAAACCCAGTTGACTTCTGTGTAGTTTCACAGTGGTATCTTGTTTAGAAAAAGTCTTGAAAGCAGTGTACAGCCCCAACTTGAGAAAATCCCAGAAAGTGGTAAATTATTTACACGTTACAGCGTCAAATACCTGTGCTCCCACCAAAGATGTGGGAAGCATAAATATGATGACTATCTGTGTTTTTTAAATTCAGTTCAGGACTGAAGTTTGTTGCTAAGTTGTTTCACTGTCACTTCTGAGAGTTTTCTGCATACCTTTTGTACTGTTGCTCCAGTGAGCCTGGTTATTTCCAAATGCATTTGTATTTCTGAAGAGGCAGGATCTACATGGCTGCTGTGGGAGGAAAGGAAGGGGATTATTTCTGGTAACTTCAGTTTGTGTTTCCCCATGGAAAGGGCAATTTATGCAATTTGAGTAGCTTGTTTTGAATCTTCTCTGTTTAGTACTAAGCTTTCTCTGGGAGCTAGATTTGGTTACTGCTTCTAAACCACATCTGATGGCATAGCTTTTGTAGAAATTACAAGCAGGAATGGTATTTATACCATTATACTTTGTAATTTTTTAATATGTATTTATATATCTGCATCATGTGAAATCTAAAAGCATCGTTCTTCTGAAGTGAAATATTCTTACAGCAGTTTTCTCTTGCAGCTCTCTTCAAACCTGGCGTGAGATACAACTTTTCTCTGTATGGCTGCAAATCCATGGGATATCAGTTGTTGAAAAACATAACTGGGTATATGAAAGAGCTGCGTGAGTGCACTTTTATCATTCAGGATCTCTGAAAAGTGAACTTAGTCTGTGTCTATTTTTTAGCTCATTGTTGGTAGGAGGCTGAGACCAGAATCTCCATGCAGGACTTCTATTTGTTCTCTGTGTATAACTGTAACACATTTCTCCAGCCGCTTGCAGTTCCAAGCGTATGCAATAACCCTGTGTTCTCCAGCTTGTGTGGTGACACAGTGTCACAGCAATTCACAGCCATAATTTGAACCACATGGCTGTGGTCCCTTCTACACAAGAAGAGGCAACTTTTCTGATTCATCAAGTCAAACTTCTAAGCACATTTAGTATAGCTCAAAAAATGTAAAAAGTATCCATAACGTTTCTGTGTTGAAATGAAAGCACTTCATAGATCCAAACTAGATCCTAGAGCACGACCACTTTGAGAATTGTATTCTGTCCCACACCACCCCTGTCTGGGTAACTGGGGTTTGACCCAGTGCTGAGCTTTGCTGGCCTGAAGATGCATTAGTGTCTGAATGCTTTCTGTTCCCAGGTGTCTGGACATGACTTTAGCCTTTAACACTATAGCTGTATTGTATTGTAACTACAGCACCAATTTCACTTTGAAGTTTAATGTGTTTTCTGCTAAAATAGTTTGCCTAGAAAACTGAACTGCTGACATAATCTGAGTCCTTGGAAATGGTGTTGTTTACTTCATTGCTAAGGTTGAAGGTGAGGTTAAGGCAATTTTACCAGAAACTCAATTGTCAGCCATTTGTATTTCTCCAAAAATTCTGAAAGGTTTCCCAGAAGAGTTTTCCATGTGTGTTATGAACAGATCAAACAGAAGCTTTCAAGATATAAAGACTTTAAAGGAATAATAATGCGTTGAGCATGCAGAGGAAACTTATTAGGAACTGAGAAATGCACAAGAGCATAGATTTATTCTAAACTTCAGATTTGCCTTTGGACAGATAACCATCAAGAGAAAAATGGATGCATTCTTAAACATGAGTTTAGCCATGGTGGTTTAAAGCCAAATGTCCTGACACTATACATAGCTGTATACATTATCTGCTGTAACACTTTCAGTAGGCCTCAGGTATTGGAATAATAATATATAATACATAATAACTTGTGTAAACTGCTAAGAGTAGTTCTGGTAAAATTGTGTAGTTCGTTTTTTTTTGTTTTAAGACAGGCTATGAGTTAAAGCCTGTAAAAGCTAACATGTATCCTCTGAATGTTTATACAATCTTTAGGGTTTTGTTGCAGGAAGAAGGGAATGGGTCTGTAAGACCACTGACCGAAGAGAATTTTTTCCTCTAGCACCACTTAGTATCTAATACTGCAGTAATGATTAACAATTACTCCAATATTGCTGTATTTTTGTAGATTCCTGCTAAGTCTTTCACATGTACTTTTACAGTGAGGAGTCTTGAGGAAAAGGTTGGAAAATGCTAGCTCCAAAATAAAACTGATTTTAATACTTACATGGTTTCAGCATTTTGTAATAAGGCAATTTCTTACTGTTTTTTTCCTTCATAACTCTCTCTACAGCTCCAAAAACTGCACCAAATTTTATTGTTGAAGAAACTTCTTCAGATTCTATCTTGGTAAAATGGGAGGACATTCCTATTGAAGAATGCCGAGGATTTCTAAAAGGATATCTTCTTTCCTTTGCAAAAGGTGAAAAAGATGCTTTAAAGCCTAGACTTTCAGAATCAGGTAAGTTAATTGTGTAAACCGCAACTTCCTTGCTTACATTGTTCCTTTTTATTTTTTAATAATTTAAGTTCACTTTAATAAAAAAGATGCTTTAATAATAATTCAGTTGCATTACTCACTGTTATAATATGCTCCTGATATGTGGCAAAGGCATTTAAAATGCCTTTGTGTGATTAGCCCAGTTGTTTTTTAATACAAAGCAAAAGTTGGAGAAAACCCTGTCTCACTGAGGCCATAAAGTAATGCAGTGACTAAGTGGCAATGTGTCATGCTGTCCTGTGCTCTGATACCCTGGGGAGATGAGGCTGGGAGGTTACAAGGCTATATTTAATAGGTTTAAATAAATTTAACGTTCTTCCAGTGCCTGTCCTGTCAGGACTGAAGCCTGACTGGCATTCATAAGAGGACACTCAGGAGGGTAAGGAAATGTAGTCAATCTGCAGCAGCAGCAGCACCGCACTCCTGTGCTGCTTGGTGCTGTGTAAGCAAGCAGCATTGCTAGGGTTCTTTATTTCAGTTTTCTTTACACAGAAGAAAGCTGTTCTTCTGGTTTCATCTGCTCACTTCAAGACAGTATTGCTAAAGCTGAGGTTGTCTTTTTGAATCCCTTCTTATGAAGTTATGCCTTTTTTACTGCTTCCAAACCAACAGGGAATCCGGAACTTAAAGTTAACAATATCACTGACTTAACAAAGAAGTCTATGAAAATACTTGATCTTCAAGGCAAAACGAGTTACCAGCTGGAACTACAAGCCTACACTGCTGGTGGATTGAGCCCTCCAAACAGCCTCTATGTGGTGACAAAGGAAGACTGTAAGTTGATTATCCCCGTCTTTAGCACATGGGCTGTACAATGTATATAAAGCTGAGCTTATTTTGTTGGTTTATTCTGGTCCTGTAGGTTTGGGTGTCCAGTCTAATTTTTACCTTTATTTAGTTGGTTATTTATAAATACAAAAATACAGTTCAGAGTGAGGGAAAGATCCTTTTCTATTATAGCTACTTTGTAGTTCATAGTAATGTATACATAAAAAATAACTTCTAACCTACTACTAAATATAGTAGAGTCTGAGCTTAGTTTTCTCAGACAGCCAGTTTTTTTTGTCAGGTTTCTTATTATGAATATCTGCTAATACATGGTGGGAAGAAAGACATTGTGGAAATATTTATCAGTTTTAAAGTTGAAAACAGATGCTTCTCTGCTTTGAATTCAGTTTTACTGATCCCTTAACAGAAGTAAACCCAAAAAGACAATTACAAGAAAGAGATGGACTTTAGAAAATAAGAGGAAAAAAGTATTTCCTATGAAGGACTAAACATTGGGGTGCAACATTAAAATCAAGCTTGAAGAATTTAATATCAATGGAAGAAGGCGGTGGAGATCTATTGGAGCTAAAGCTCAGGGATTGGAAGCATTGTAAGACATATAAAAGACAATGCTGTTTATGCAATTAGCTGTTGGCCTGGAAGAGCCATTACCAGAAACTTGGCCAGCTCAGGTAGCATGAAAATGCAATGCAAGTGCTTAAAAAGAGCAAAATCACTATACCAATGAGTCTTGTGCTGCACATGAAGCCTTCCGTAATTAAACAATCAGAGAGAAAATGTCTGCTGATTCCTGTAGTTATCACTGAATCTGTGAATTCCAGCAAAGGGGAAGGGTGATGATGTAGGTCACTATTTGCAGACCACTGCACTAGCTGAGTTTAATGGAATGATCTTTTAATTGGGGGGAATATTAGAAAAGCCATAAAACTTACTGATTATATTGGATATATATTTACGGCCTCCTCTTTTTCTTATCCCCCAGCTGTAGGATTAATCATTGCAATTCTCATCCCCGTTGCAGTGGTGGTGCTGCTTGGAGTGTTGGCCAGCATCTTCTGCTACCGAAAGAGGGAATGGTAACTGCCTGCCTCGGGTTCTCATCTTTTCCTGGAAGTGTTTGCTTCTGTGCTAGGGTTTTCCATGATTTTAGTTACTCCCTGTTTTCTCTTTATACCCAAAGATGTTAGTGGGCTTTGCTCAAAGGTGGGTGGCAAAAACACCGTGTGGAAAGTGAGGGAGAAACTGAGCTGGAGAGAGGTCAAAGGGAGGAATGCAAAAAGCTTTTGCAGGAGCCTCTGTTCCAGTGAGCACCGTTTATAAACAGTTCCCAAATGGAAATAAGCTGGCGACATACTGTAATTTGTGTGCCCTCTACAAACAAAGATAGACATATCATCTTCAGCTTTTAGTAAATGTGGCATATTAAATTCCCAACTTAAAAAAAAGGGGGTTGCTGCTTTTTCCATTATACTCAGTGAAAGTTTAACACACTAAATCTTTGCACCAGATGTCTTCAGTATCCTGAGTTAAAGGGAAGTGTCCTGACTCCTTTTGTGTATTCACAATCTGTTTCAGGCCTTGCTATCTTTATAATAGTTTATTCTTTCTCTTTAAAGGATTAAAGAAACATTTTATCCAGAAATCCCAAATCCTGAGAACAGTAAGGCACTGCAGTTTCAGAGGAACATCTGTGAGGTAACCCTTATTATAAATCTAGTATTTTAAGCTTCTAAAAGATAAAACCAGTTAAAGAATTCTTTTGACTCATCTGTTCCAGTTGTAGGAAAAAACTCAGTGACAGGGGGAAACAAGCCAATTTACTGAGTAACTTTTGTCAGGTGGTATCTAGAGCTTTGTTGCTGTTAATGTAGTTAATTGCAATGTTTGAGCTAGGAAAGGATTGTTGCATTTCTCTTCTTCCAGCTAATGAGAAGTGTCAGTACCTGATAAGAATACAAGAGTAACACAGGCGTCTTTGTTGAAGTATTAGAAGAAGCAGGAAGTATGGAGATCTGCCATATCCCATTATCCCAGTAGATACATTAGTTGAGATGGGCAGAGTATTTAAACAGCCTTCAGAAATGGGTTGTACAAAGACAAGATTTGGAGAAAGTTCTTAAAAATATACTGCAAGATCTCAAGTCTCTTTAATTTGCATAAAATACTTCTAACATTTACAGGAATGTGAGCCAGAAAATTATAAGCACTTCTTTCTTTTTAATGTATCATACTAGTGGCCATGGGATGGAGTACAATCCATAAGCCACCAAACTGCTGTAATTTCAGCAACTTGTTGCTTTCAGGTTTTCCGGATCTTTTAACTTAGTGTCTCCCCCTTCTCCTTTTTCTCATTTCAGGGGAATAAGACACTTAAAACACTGGAAATGAACCCGTGCACCCCCAACAGTGTTGAAGTGGTGGAAACACAGTCCGCAGCTCCAAAGATTGAAGACACAGAGATGATGTCCCCAGCAGCAGAGACCACTGTGCCTGAAGATGGCTCTGACTCAGAAATGGAAAACCACGTTGTTGTCTCCTACTGCCCCCCTATCATTGAAGAGGAGATCTCAAATCCCCCTACAGATGAACCTGGGGGGTCATCTCAGGTGGTTTACATTGACATCCAGTCAATGTATCAGCCTCAAATTAAACCAGAGGAGGAGCCAGAAATAGACTTAGTGACTACAGCAGGCTATAAGCCACAAATGCAACTCTCTATCAGTGCTCTGAAAATAGAGGGCCATTCACCTGTGGAGGAAGAATTGGATAAAACTGCAGGTTACAGACCTCAAGCAAACACAAATGCGTGGAACATGGGCACTCCAGACTCTCCTGGATCAGTTGAAAGCAACAATGAAAATGCATCTTTTGGGAGCCCATGTTCAATTAATTCCCGACAGTTTCTGCTTCCCCCAAAAGATGATGAAGACTCTCCTAAACCCATTAACACAGGGTGGTCCTTCACACACTTTTTTCAGAACAAACCAAATGATTAACAGTGAGTCCTCATTGCACGTGAACCTGCCTTCTGAATAAGCTTTTATGCCTGGTATTGTTAAGAAAGGAAGAAGAAAAGTGCAAAAGGCATGAATTATTCTTGGAGACAGTCAGCAGAAGTTCTAGTGATCTGAATGTTACCATGTTTAAGTTAGTCAAAGTGTTAATATTCCATTGTAATAGAGGCTGAGAGGCCAAAATTATAGCAATTTAGTTATTAGTCTAGTAAAATATATTGGATATAAGGGGTTTTGAATTTACAGTCCCTGATAATTATAGTCAAAGAGCTCTGCCTACCTTCCCACAGTGCTCCAAGATAAACATGGTCTCATGCAATTTATAACTTGGAAAGATTGCTTTGCTTTGTTGTAGTTGTTCTCAACTGTGCAGACTCAAATGATGCAGCACCAACAAATTTCCTTACTGAAGGTTTAATTTATAGCAAATCTCAGCCTAAGACTCAGAAACAATGTGTCTGGAAACTGTTGAGATCTTTTACCTAGTTATAAACAATGAACAAATGAGAGTGCAATTTTTTTGTCTTCTCCTGTATGGAAGGTTATTGTCACTGTTTAACACTTACAAAGCAATGGCCGTTCAAATCTGTTGCTTTTTGACTAGACACTAATTTCTGTACCTACTGTACAATGTTTATTAAATGTTTGACTCAGGGGTACAAACTTGGGGAAAAGAAGTGTAACACTGATTGAAACCTCAACAAGAACTGCATAAAGTTTAAAACTTCCTTTTTTTAAAAAATACCTTAGAATGCTCTATATTTTTTCAATCTTTTGGTTAAAGAGTTAATCTTGCCTAATGTATTGCACTAATACATTTTGTATTTCATAGCTTCTGCTCCAGGTCTCTGCTTTGAAGTGGTACAGTAGTCCATTCACCCTCAGTGTTTAGCAGTCTTTGCACTATGCAGTAATGTAAGCCATGGGGAAATCTCTGTCTACTCACCTTAGCTGCTGAAGCAGTTTGGCACATGAAATTAGAGGTAGTAGGACTAGGTCCTTGAGGAGAAATTGCTTTTTGGATGATCTTTATTGTATTAGCTTTGTATTACCTGCTGCCTGACTGATCTTTGATCTTATGTGTCAACCCAACAGGACCTTCTATACAAATCCTACCTGGGAGTACAAGGTAGGATTTCTCTAGTGGCAGGGAGAAACCCAGGGAGGTTCTAGTGCCACTAATTCTACCTCTCCTTTACCAGATATGTGATGCAAAGAAAGCTTAAATTATGTACATTTGTGTGCTTAAAGGAGTGTTTAGAACAATCATCTTTTAAAATGCTTGTTTTCCCATGTGCATCTCTAGACAACTGTAACTGTAACATTTCACTGTGTAAATTTCAGGCTGTGGCATACATGAATTTCACTAGCTTACAGGAGTAACTTTTGAGAAATTTACCTGTTTCTTGCTGTAAAAGTGGGGAGGCATCAGATGAGCTTGATCAAAAAGTTCTAACCAATTTTTTTTTAATGTCCATTTCGTTAGCTACTATGTTTGTTTAGGGTTTGGATTGCTGTTTGGTTTTAGTTTTGGGGGTTTTTTTAAATAAATAAGACATGGGAACGGTTTTCTAAAGAAAACAGATTAGGAGACTGAATTGTCTAGGCTGCTAGTTGTAAAGGTGTGAGAGTAGACCAGGAGGATGACTTGACAGACATTTGGTCTCCAAACCACATGATCTGGCCATCAAAATAAAACCAAGCTTAAGGTTAAACCTAATCACAGCAATGAGTGTTTCAGTTTCAGAGGCTGGCATGTCTCTGCCATCTCCGCAGAACGAATGTGTAGAGATGTTTCAGAACTGACAAAAAGGCAAAGCACTAAATAATTACCACAATAGGTAACAGCCTCCTTGTGTGTGCCTCCCGGACTAGTGAGCTGTGAAAATAGTAAAAAACAGATTGGTCTGCAGGTCTGGCAGAGTGCAAGGTGCCTCTGAGAGGACAGAAAGTGCAAATAGGCTTCATCTGTTGAGTCTGTGAGTTAGCAGGCTGCAAGTGGAAACACAGGCAGTGACGTCCATTTGTGACCAAGCATCAGCACAAGAGAAGTGTCATAGCATATTACTTAGAACATTAACATATGAAAGGAAGCAGTTAAGCCCTTTGTGACTGATAGCTGGGAGGAGGCTAAATCCTAATAGTAACAACTGTTTTTCATAATTATTGTTTTTTAGAATATTTCATTTCACTAGTGTAGATTTGGCTTAATGTGTCCATCTCCTAAGATGGATTTTAGCTTTTGCTGCTATATGCTTTTAATTGAAAGCAGATGATGTCATGGACAGCGTGTATGGGTAGTGGTTAGGGGTTTTTTTATAGAGCAGATTCTCAGTACAGAGGAGCAATCAGTATTGCATGGTGATCCAACTGAAAAAAAAAACTCTCTGTAGCAGAACAGCTGACCGTGAAGAATAACTGTGCTTTTCATATGGCTGTGTATTGCAAGAAACAAAATCAAACTGCTATTTGAGAGTACTGGCAATTTTTAATTTGGAGACTGGAAATCAAGGCAGCTGCAGAGAACACACAGAGCTCTCACAGGAAGCAGTTCAGGACCATTGTCGGTGTTCATATGGTGAATCACTTACACGTAAGCATCACATACTCAGGTTTCCAATGTGCTGCTCCTCCTATTCAGTAAAGACAACAACATTTTAAATTGCTTCATTTCTTAGTGATTAGGTAAGGAAAGGCTCCACAAATGTATATTCTGCCTCAATGTTGATCTTATAAACTCCCTCTGACCTAGTTATTAATCTCTTTTTTTTTTTTTCTAATTCTTGACAATATACCTGGTGTTCTGACTTTCAGGATGCGGGTCAGAAAGGTCCTTTAACAGGAATGGCTTCAGTAAGGAGAGTGGGGCAGATGTGGGAGAGACACAAGCGTGTGCAGTATCTGTAGCTGTCATTGTCACTTAGTGCTGATGAGCCAGTAAACAGTTGTCATTCCAGCACTTGAAAGCTCAGCTGCTTCACCTCTGTGGTTTCCCTTGAGCCTATTCAGTGCTGCCTTTCAAATGCCTGTCTCAGATCTTCAGCAGTGAATTCAGATGCTTGGGGAGAGGTGGTCTGCTAATGTGATCAGCCACCCCTAGGTACCCGGAGCAGTAGGGATGAATGACCAGGAGAGTCAGGGAACAGACTTGCTTTCTGAGCCCAAGTGCCATGTTAAACCAGTGAAGCATCTTTAGGAATGTCTTTGAACCAAATACTCTCTCAAAGCATGGTGCTCTCTCATAGCCTCTAAATGCTTTGATAACAGTTGTAAGTTTCAGAGGGGATCAGATTCTTTGTACTAGTGCCTTCTAGCTTCCTGATGAGCCTCTTCGGACAAGTTTCTTTTCTGAAAAATATCTTAGGAGTCCTAAAGTTTAAACAGCATTTCCTTACCGTCCTTTTGTGAAAAATCTTACCCTTTATTGAACATTTATTTTTAGTTCTTTTGCCTTTTTACTTCATTTTTAGAAGAGTAGAAAGTGCAGCTTTAAAAAAAAAATTAAAAAGAACCAAACAAAAAGCAAAATCCAACAACTTCCAGAAGGGATATGACCAGAAGGGATTGTGTCATGCCCAACTTCAGTCCTCCAGGATCAGTGTTCGGAGATGTAGGGTATTAATGCCAAGCAGTTGCTTTCTGAAGAAAGTCGTTGGTTCTGCTGCTTTTTATTTTTGAGCCATGCCTGTCATATGTGACAATTTAAGTTTTGTAATAGGTTTTTGTACTGTTCACTGTACGTGTGGAACATCAGTCACATTTGATGTATCTTTGTGCACTCTCCTATTTGACACATTCATTATTTTCGGTTTTTTGACATGCCCGAGATGTGGGATCTCACGTTTGTGTCAGATTTTGGGATGGTAGATCTGCATGTGATATACCTCACAGAACTACTAGTTAATATATCAACAAAATAGCAAGATAATATTTCAGGCAGGCAGTGAATTACCTCCCCTGCTATGCAGTGGCAGTATAGGCAGACCTAGAACCCGATAACTGACATTTGCTGTCTTTATGATCCCTAGTTGCTGCTTTCATGGGTAAACCATTTCCAAAGGGAGCCAGTCGCTGTGCTGCTTGTCATGGCACAATTGGCAGATCTGCCACGTTTCTTCATCCTTGGTTTGTGTGGGGGACCAGAACTTGACTTTGCCAGAAACGTGGCAGCAGCACACTCCTGCTGACCTCAAGCTTTAGGCTGCTCTGGAGAGGCATTTTCAAAACACCTTTTTATGTTGTTGTTGATAGGTTCAGCTGGGTAAAGCTGAGTGCTGTGGTGTTTCCTGTGGTCATGAGTTCACTCAGTTGAACATGAATAGGAGCAAAAAGGAAAGTGATTGGGTGCACTGGAGGGAGAAGGTGATTAGACACCACTCTGAAAAGGCAATGATAAATTGTGTGCTCTGTTTTTAAATAAATACTGCTTTGTAAATAGAATACTTGTACCCCTACAAGTAGATAGAAATATAATAACATAATTTGACAGATATTAGAAAAATGTAACATTTAAAGAATGAGATTGCTAACAAGCCTCTGTGTACCATAAATCTGTGAAGAGCTTCCCATGTAAATAGCATCTTATGTTCTGCCACAGACTTTGATGAAGACTTCAATGCAAATGGCATTTAATATTTATAACACTAAGTCCTAACCCTTTACGCACACATGTGCTTGCATCATCATGTGCCTAGGTGCATATGGCAGAGGAAGTCGGCTTACAATTGCCAAAGTGATTTTTTTGGAGTCCTGTACATGAATATATACCTTCTGAGACAGTTTTGTCTGGAGGCAGCACCTGCTGTCTTGTGCTCCTCCCAACACACTTTGCAACACTTGTGGTGCTTGCATTAAATGGTGCCCTCCGTGGATGAGGCTCAAAGATGCTGTTGGCTGTTGGCAGTATTTGTTGGTTTTTTCCCCTTGTCTATTCCTTAGCCAGCCTGGAAACACAGTCCCAGATCCCGAATGCTAGACAAGGATTTTGAAGTGTTTAAGTGTTTTATTCCCTTTATTCCAGTTTAAGACTGTCTTAGATATCTTGTTAGGAGCTGTAAAATAGTTTCTTCCACCACAATTTTCTTTCCCCTCCCCCATTTATATAACTCTGGATTTTTCCCAGTGCTTCTCAGATAACCAATGTTTGTTTCCTTTTAGCATGTTATACAAACAAATCTCAGATTATATTGGCAGGCTTTCTGTAACTTTATAAGTTGTCCCAGTGTGCATGACAATACTTCTCCCCCACAAAAACATCTATTAATTCCTTCTGCTTTTACGACTGAAACAAAAAAAACTCAAGAGGAATTCTGGGTTTTGGAGGGCAGGGGCTCAGCATGCCCATGCAGGTGAGGTGGTCTAATGGCAGGGTGTTTCCTGAGAGGATGGGGTTAATCCCTCTCCAGTCTCACTCTCTTCTGTGACAGCACTGTCCAGGTGACTTTGTGGTGCACCAGAGCAGATGAAATCCTTGGTTTTCAATTTGATACCCAACAAAATTTCTAGGACAGTCCCAAATCTCCATTTTGACTGAAAGCAAGCTTCAGTGGAGATTTATGGACAACTTCCACTAGAAGGGTCAATACCTTTGCAGCTCACTTGGTCTCATGTTGTGCAAAAGGTAGGGAGTAAGACTAACCCAGGAACAAAGCAAAAAGTGAAAATTTCACTTTTTCATTACGTGGATTAAGAAAACTTTAAAAATTAGTAGCTCGAGCAGGGCAAAGTAAAATAGAAAGGTCGCACCCTTTAGTAGTAACACAATAAAAAAAGAATCCTTAAACGCCACTCTGTCCATGTTTTCTACATGTGGTTCAAGAATGGCTTTGGAAACCTTTTACGTTTTGATACCATGTCAAAAGTTTGTAAAGCTGGGGATAACAAAAGGAGAAGACAACTGAATCATCATATCTGAAATCCTACTTGAAGGTAACAGCAATTTCAACTTTGAGCCTGTTGTGGCACACAAAATATCAGAACTGGTGGAATCATACAGGTCACCTGAAAAAAACACACAACATTGTACTATAATGCTGTAACTTTAAACATATACTGTGAATAGGTTCAATGTTTTTTTTAGCTCTTTTTATACCATATTTTTTACAGCATAAATAATTTGCTTAGAGATGTTTTTATGTTCTGTTTTTATGAAGATTTTAATGGACTTTTGTTTAATACTAGTGAAAATATTGTTTGCCAATTTGACATAGTCATCTATAGAAGTTAATGCTGAGAATTAACTTCTATTAATGAGATTGAGCTGAAAAAATAGTCTTCATAACACACTAAATCTAATAAGTCATTCAGCATATTTTTGTTGCTGAATGATACTGAAATTTTCCAGCTTCCAAGTCTGCTATTGAAAAATTACTTCTTTCACAATTTTAGCAAAATCATCACAAGGCACTTTAATAAAGCTGTAGCATGCCAAGTAAAATACTGATT